TTACATGCTATGATTCAACAAATAACTTTAATCAGAGGTTCACATTCAAATAGACGGTTGAAATCTCTGCTTCTAAAGAATGACTGATCTAACATCAGTGATTCTTTGACTTCCCAAGTTGTAGGCACACTGCAGTGGTTCATTTTATAACTAGATTCTCAATTTTACATTTCATTACTTGCCTTTCCCCATCAAACCCAGACCTTTGTTGGATTCTCTCAGGGCTTTTCGGGCTCCAGTCACACATATCTATTGTCTGTGAGTATTGATAACAGAGGTTAAATCCATGGTAAAATCAGTTGGGTGTCTTGTAAATCAAGTAGGCAGCAAACAAACACTGTCCTTCCCATAATAATTCCATATATCTCTGCAGCTCTCAAATGACTGACATATGTAGCTTTATTTCTGGGCCTTTGCCCCTCTCATAGGTCTACAGATCATCCACAGAAGTGCAGCTATCCTTTTTCCTTTTTTTTTAGCTCCCCTGTCTCCCCTCAGTGGTCCATGTACTCATTCATGACAAAGTAACAGTCATTTTCTTTTTTCATATTTGCTGTCACTGCTTCCATTTCTTCATTTCATCCTACACTTCTTTATTGCTGTTATAGTTGTCCTTTTATCCTCTCTTCTAACTAAAAAATGTCTCAAGCCAAAAACCACAGACACATATGTGAGCAACTTCAAACCAGTTCTGGGGTCCCTGAAGTCTTAATCCAGATCCAATTTTTGCAGCTTGAGCCATCTCTAATCCCTAATTGCTCCTGTCATCTCTTTCTCACAGCCCTGGCTGTAAGCCACAATGTTTTATGCTGCTTTCTGTGCTTGGAAATAAAGTTACAATGCCCTCCTGTCTCTTCGGTCTTAAAAACATATTTATTTTCTGAATGCTTCCTTCCACTGACTTTTTTGCTGAAAATTTTGTATATGAGCTGTTGTCAGCATTTTGGCTATAGAGCATACTAGCACTCATGACATTTAGCAAAAGCCACAAGCAGCATGCTGCCTTGTGGTCACTCCCCCAAAGAGAGGACACCTACGTTTTTGTATATGGTCCAAGGACTCGGATTTGCAAAGCATTTTTACTAATTAGTATTTCTTGTAAAATGTATAAACAGTCCTCATCATAGGAATTAAAAACCTGTGTGAGAATCCAAACCACAAAGCTATAAAGACGTATAACTCATGATGTTCTCTTTTTAGTGTACTGAGATTGAACACAGCCACAGCTTCAGAAAATGAAGCTGCCACTGAAACCCAGAACGGCCTAGTGTTTTGGGCTCCCTGCTAGGAGGTGGGAAACAGTTTTCCTATGTGCCTCCAGAAGGACAGAAAACTGAAAACAGGGGTTCAATATTTTGTGTTGGTATTCTGGCCACCAGGCTAGTGATACAACAGTATCATAAGCAATAAATTCCCTCTCTGGGTTATAAAGGAAAGCACTGAGCAGCATTGCATCTTATGTAGAGGGCAATGCCATACGACTGTGCCAAATAACCTCTGAAAATATCTGTTGGACTAAGCACTTTCAAGGGTACTACTTTTGTATTCTTCCTCATATTAGGTTAGATCTAAGGAAGAAGTTCTTCACAGTGAGGGTGGTGAGGCACTGGAATGGGTTGCCCAAGGAAGTTGTGAATGCTCCAACTCTGGAGGTGTTCAAGGCCAGGCTGGACAGAGCCTTGGGTGACATAGCTTAGTGTGTGGTGTCCCTGCTCATGGCAGGGGGGTTGGAACTAAATGATCTTAAAGTCCTTTCCAACCCAAACTATTCTATGATTCTATGATTCTATATAGATTGCTTCAATAATTTCCAAAGATATATAGTTTTCTGCAGTGAAAATATAGTTTTGCATGTGAAATATCCACAGATATTGTACTTTCTAACTGAAGGTGAAATAATTCGTAGTTAATTCAGTCAACTTTTGCCTAGAAATGAGACAAAAGGCTTTCATTACAACATTAAAATCATTACATCCTTTTGGGTATTTAAATATCATTTTGACGATTACCTGTTATTGAGGACTCTAATTGTCAGTTGAGTAGACAAAGGTGACATTAGGGCAGTTTTCAGATCTCCCACCCAGCTGTTTTATAAAGCTTAGGCCAGACTGTAGATACTGAAAGTTGCATGGGCTGTAAGCTTACGTGACCAACAAAGCCAGATGTGAATCCTCAGAACACTGACACATCAGCTCAGGAAATGCCAAAGGATAAAGGTTTATAGAAGTTGCATTTGTGAAACATTCAGCTGTAACTTACGAATTTCGTTAGGGGTTTTTTTGCTAATAAAAACACTACTACCAAGGGAAAATAATGGATCCAGTATGCTACATATGATTCATTTATTATCTAATAAATAAAGAAATGTTTGAAGCACAGTAAAATACCCACAAAAAACCACCAACAAAACAAGAACCCCTCACAATTAATTAACTAAAAAACGTGAAAGATGGTTCAGTTACAGAGCTAAGCAAGACTGTGTTCACAATGGGGAAAGACTGAACTTTTCGCATTATCAAAGATTACCAAGAGCTCTAGATTCAATTACATGAATTAGTACTGTAGTTCACAGGCAAGACTTTCAGCATGGTATAACTTATTGGGTGCCTGACACAAAACAAGCAGTAGTCTTGTTAAGTTTCTTCTGTCTCTGGAAAACCTGGTTACAGACATTGCCTAAAGCAGCAAGTTAACCTCACTTACTTGCAATGGTATAATTTTCATAGTTTTAGCTACTTTATACTCGATTTACAATGGCATATAATAGGACAAAATAAATTCAAATACTCCACATCATGAAATACACTAAGAGTATTCTTATTCAACCTTTGGATTTCAAACAATTGACTAATTGATAAAAAGTGACTGACACTCCAAGATATTGCACTGGCCTAAGCCAAGAACAAGCAAGGGGAGAAAATTCTGAACTATTGGTGGTGGAAGCAGAAAACTGCAGCATAATTTGATTTGGCAAGAATTCCAAATGAAGACAGAGAATCCCATGCTTCCCCCTTCAGGTAGCAACTGCACACACATAAAGGTTCATGCCAGAGCCATTCCCTCTTACTGAT